GCTGGGAAGGGATGTGAAGGGTAAACAAAGGAGGAGGCTGCAGTGCTTGATAAGAAATGTACCCATTATCTTGTAACCCCTCTGTACAGTATGTTCACAAAAAAATTAAAATTAAAATTAAAAAAAAGAAAAACAAGCATTTTTTCCTAGCTAAACTTACACCATTTAAAAATTCCTGCTTATAGTAACACCTTCCTATAATCCCAGCACTTGGGAGGCTAAGACAATAGAATCAAGAGATTGAGACCAACCTAGAAGAAAAAAAAGAAAAAAAAAGCCTGTTTCTCCTAGTCTAGCGGTTTGTAGGTTACATTCCTCAAGACATTCTGTCAGCCTTGCAAAAACATTTTCCTGCCAGGTGCTAGCGGCTCACACCTGTAATCCTAGCTACTCAAGAGGATGAGATCTGAGGATCAAAGTTTGAAGCCAGCCCATATAAGAGAGTACTGTAAGATTCTTGTTTCCAATTAACTACCAAAGCTAGAAGTAGGGCTGTGGCTCAAGTGAAAGAATGCTAGCCTTGAGCAAGGGAAACTCAGGGACAGTACCAAGTCCCTGAGTTCAAGCCCTAGGCCAAGGATACTTTTTTTTTAATGGGATAACCTTTCAAGATGTGCCTTGGTCTGTGACCCATGGGTATCAGGCATACCTGAGAGGTAGATATGGTTTCAGCCATTTGTCTAAACCATTAATGGGAATGTTTTTCACAGAGAAAAGTTAACAGGGGCACCTCTGGTTGGTAACCAGATGGTGATAAGGAAACAAAGTGGACATGTGTCAAGGGACATCTTTTCTATTCATGTCCTATCCATATCAACACGTCCTACAAAAATAGCCCAGCTGAGAAAGCTGAAACAGAACATGAGGGGTCCAAATGCACTGCATGAAGAGATTTATCAGTCCTGTTGCTCAATAGCTTCCAAATCTGTGGACTGTCTGAAGGTCATGGCCTCTGACTACATGGACAGTTTCTGACTGATCATAAAGAACTAAGCTGTTTTTTTTCTGGATATATATTAAACATTCCAAGCACTTAATTTGGAATCTGTCTTCCAGAAGTTATCTGAATCCTATAATCCTGGTTCTTCAGGAGGCTGAGATCTGAGGATTGTAGTTTGAAGCTAGCTTGGGCAGATAAATCCCAGAGACTCTTATTTCCAAATAAGCAGCAAAAACAAGAAACAGAGGTGTGACTCAAGTGGTAGACCATCAGACTTGAACAAAAAAGCCAAGTAAAGCCATGTATGGGTGGCTCATGCCTGTAATCCTAGCTACTCAGGAAGCTGAGGTCTGAGAATTGCAGTTCAAAGCCAGCCTGGGCAGGAAAGTCCATGAGACTCTTGTCTCCAATTAATGACTAGTTCAACATGCTTGAGTGCAAGCTTTGAATGCAAGCCTTGAGTGCAAGCTCAGGGACAGGGCCCAGGCTCTGCGTTCAAGCCCCATGACCAATAACAGCAACAACAAAAGGAGCCCAGTGAGAACAAGAGGCTCAAAGTTCAAGCCCCAGTACTAGCATACACAAAAAAAGAAAAACGTTATCAGGGGTAGACAGGTAAGTATGCTGGTACTGTTCTGCTGCTCCGTGATGAAGAATATCCTCTTAAATTAAAAGAAAACTGCAGCCTTTGGTTTATTAAAGGCTCTGCACAAATCTGTAGCTCTCTACAGCAAACTTATGCCTACTTCCACACCTGATAAAAAGAAAGAGAATCCACAGCATGTCTGTCCCTTGGTGTATTGTAAAACTGTCACTTCAGCCTAGAGCCTTTCATTTTTTAAAGCTCAGATAACTGGGATTTTACCATGGCATCTGGGTTTCTTTCCCTTATTCATGGTATCATTTCAAAGGATCACAAATGGAGTCTGATCATTATCAAATGTTTCATATTTGCTACAAATGTGCCTAAAGCAGACAGATCTCCCATTTCTGTCTGTGGGGTTTGGATACTGATCCAGGAAAAGAATTTCATTTAACAATCTGTTCCCATTTCAGGCAGTTTTGGAGACAGACATGGAACTCTGCTGTGAGTGAGTGCTGAGCCATGCTGGTGAGGCTGATCAGTGCCAGCAGCTGTTCACAACGGTGTAATAATCCATGCGTCCCACTCTAACCTACAATGGAATTTATTTTTTCACTTTTTATTTGGCAATAATTTCAAGATTACAGAAAACTTACACTAGGACAAACAAATCCAAGAGACTCTGATCTCCATCTAACCAGTAAAAAGCTGGAAGTGCAGGGGTGACTCAAATGGCAGAGTGTCAGCCTTGAGGAAAAAAGTAAGGGACAGAGCCCAGGCCCTGCAGTCAAGGCCCAACATTAGGGTGCATGTGCGTGCACACACATACAGATATTAGTCTGGTTTCCACACTGGTCAGTAGCAACATTTCCCCTGCTATTTCTGAGTCTCTGAGCAGATAATTTAACATGCAAATCAGCCAGTCCTTCTCAAAATAGATCTCTGCTTTAACGTACATTAATGATCCTTGTGTGAATCAATCTTGGATGGATACTAAGTAATAGTTTTCCCAATTCCATCACTCTCTGCTCATTTATTAATAATTCATTATTCTCCAAGCAAGAGGCCAGCCTTCTCCCCATTTATTTACCTTACTTTTTAGCATTAATTTTTCCATCCCTTATTCTTACCCAGGTTTCCTTTCCACGGCATGAAGTTTTGTTCCCTAAAGTATTAACATTTGTTCAATCCTACGATGTACCTAAAATAATTCAGAACTACTTCACCCACACTACTTCAAAAACCAGGATGTGTTTGAAGTTACTCCCTTCTCAGTCCTGACTAACAATATATATTTAAGTACTATCTTCAAGTCACTTGATTCTTTCTATTCTTTATTTTTGTGATTATCTTTTTCACTTGAAATATACTTTGAGCTCCTTCCTGTTTCTTCTCCATCCTTGATAATGTATTTGTCCTTATTCATTTGATTTAGATTGACATTCAAAATTATTTGATTGTTTTATATATGTGCCAGTACTCAAGGCCTGGGCAATGTCCTTTAGCTTTTTTAATTCAAGACCGCACTTTACCACTTGTTCCACAGTTCAACTTCTGGCTTTTTGCTGGTTTAACTGCAGATAGGAGTCTCATGGACTTTCCTGCCCAAATTGGCTTTAACCCCTGTTCTTCAGCTCTCAGACTCCTAAAGTAGCTAAGATTATAGACATGAGCCACTAGTGCTTTGATTCATATAATGTAGTTTTCACCTCTAGAAGATGAAAGACTAGATTATTTCAGACTTATTTGTATGTCGTACAGGTCTTTGTATGGAACAGACTTATAAAACAAATATTAACAGCTTAATAGCTATGAATTTTAACACTATATTAATTCTGGAACAATTTTAGTCAATGGATTTTTTCTCAATATTATCTTTCTGCTGCTATACATGCTATTAATTTTGAACTGTATAAATGACAGTGTGAATTTTACTGGCTGTTGCATTTTTTTTAATTTCTATAAGCCTTGCTATTTGTTCACAGACAGAAGCTCGTTCCTTGGAAGTAGTTTGATCTTTGGGATATCTTGCTTTGCAGATTAGTTTAGTGGGTGTAGAGCAATGTTTAGTCTAGTGCTATTTCTTACCATTGATGTAAGACCTTCTAAATAAATTTTATCCAATATACTGTGAAACACAGGTTTTCTAATATGGATGGTGGGAACATGCCTAGGTCCATCCAAGGGTCCACCACTATTTCCATGAATCAGTTTCTTTCCCATCCTTTAGTAACTTCCTCCCACAGACTTGCTAATGAACACTACTGAATGAACACTTACCGAATACTCCACAGATCTCGAGGACATTCTTTCTACAGCTATCTCCTTCCTGGAACTCTATCCTGCCCTGCAAACGATCTGCCATGGCATCTGGAAACTCTCAAGCTTCATCCTCTTAAGGTTTCATATGGTGCCTTCCCTTAAGCAATAGTGTACCTCTCTTAAGGCAGTCAGCCAGGGCAACCATTCACTTCATGTGGCCAGATGTCCAGTGCCTTAAAACCTTTCATCTCATGCATTATGTCCTTGTAAAGAGTCACTTCAAAGGAAAGAGTAACCCCTACCATTGTAACTTACTTCATCTTGGCCAGAAGCACAAGTACTTATCCTAGCTTTTGAATATAAATAGATGTAGAATTTAAAATCGCAAAGGATGAGAATGACTCCTTACCTTATTAAGGTATCATCATCCACAATGACTAACCATGCCACTTTGTCATGGCTATTATTCAAAAATCTTTCCAAAATGGCAAATGTTTTTCCACAATGACCTAAGAAAGGTAAGACAAAGAGTAAAACAAAAAAATGTATGTTCTGCTTTAACATATAGATGATTCATTATAAGTTGTTTTTGTTTAAAAGTGATAGAAGAAAGAGCTTGAACATCAACAAGCATCTTAGTAACTTTCCCTTGAAGACAGAACGTCATTTCTGGTTTTCTGTCATCTCTAGTTACCATAAGCATTGTGAAGCACTGTTATAAACTTCAGAGATCCTAAGGTCTATCCATTTCCCACCTGAATGTGGGGGAGAGATTACAAGGTCCCGCCAACAATCTGAATTTGAGGTTGACCTAGAATTACCTTCCACATAGAAAGACAAAAGCTGTTAGATTGTCACAGCAATTCACAGAGTGGGGCCTCTTTTCTTCTTAGACATTATTCTGAAGGAACTGTTGGAACTTGGGAAAGCACTGGGGTAAAATTGGAAGGCGACAGCTTCATTCTGTGGTAAGGACTTACAAGTATACAAATCATACAGATATAGCACCGAATAAAACAGAGCTAGTCTTTCAAATGCCAACAGATAAGTTCTAATGCTTCAGTAATAAAAGCTGGAGTCAAAATAAGATTAAAGCACTAGGGGAAAATATTCAAGTTGACAGACAGGAATATGCCTCATTTTCTCATAAGTGTTTAGTGACCTGGAGGAGTCCACACTCATAAAATTCTTTGTATTAATTAATATTAAGCCACTGGATTTAATAGTATACATTTTTATGTTGTTTATATTTATGTTAATATTGCCATATCTGTTATAGTATGAATTTTGAAATGTATTGACTAATTTATGATATTTATAATTACTCACCTACTTCATGATTTCATATTTCTTTTGGTATAAAAAAATAAAACAAATTAGCTACTCAGGAGGCTGAAATCTGAGGATCACGGTTCAAAGCTAGCCCAGGCATGAAAGTTTGTGAGACTCTTATCTCCAATAAACTGCTCACAAAACCAGAAGTGGCACTGTGGCTCAAGTGGTAGAGCCCTAGCCTTGAGCTGAAGAGCTGAGGGATGGTGCCCAGGCCCAGAGTTCAGCCCCACAACTGAACAAAAAAATAGTAATAAAAAAACAAATATAGTAATAAGGCCAAACTAAAAATAAATTAAGAAATCACTCAGAAATGCATGAATGGATGAATGATTATAAATGTCAACTTAAATTGATGTTTTATAAAGTAAGGTTTAAAAAAACCCTCAATCTAAAATAGCTTCTTAAAAACAAACAGCAGCAACCTGTTGTACCCTGTAGTCTATTATTCAAGGCATTACGAATGATGCTTGCATAAAACAATCAAGATAAACAGTTCTACAGAACAAGATGATCAGTTTAATCCTTTTCTAATCAGAAAAGTATATGAAAATTTCAAAAAAACTAAAGAAAATTTTAAAAAATTGTGGTGGGAACACTGGGCAAACATTAAGACAAAGAACATCTGATAACAAGGCCAGCCAAGTTTCTACTCCCACTCTTTGAAATGTACTCGTTATCTTGCCCATGTAATTGTAACTCCTCTGTACGGTATTCTCACAATAAAAAAAGGGGGGGGCTGGGAAGGTGGCTCAGTGGTAGAGCGCTTGCCTTGCATGCCTGAGGCCCTGGGTTCGATTCCTTAGCACCACATAAGCAAAAAGAAAAAAGCCGGAAGTGGCGCTGTGGCTCAAGTGGTAGAGTGCTAGCTTTGAGCTGAAGAGCTGAAGGCCAGTGCCCAGGCCCAGAGTTCAGGCCCCACAACCGGACCCAAAAAATAAATAAATAAATAAATAAAAATAAATGCTTTAAAGCAAGAGGAAGTAGCAGAAGCCTGTAATCTCATATAGCTGAAAGGTAGCGATCAGAAACAGAAGTACATGAGACTCCATCTGAACCAATGGCTAAACATGGTGTATGCCTGCCATGCTAATGACAAAGAGAAGCACAAATAGGAGGATCACAATCTAGGAAGGTCTGGGCATAAATTGAAATTTCATCTGGAAAATAACCAATGCATAAAGGGGTGGGTGGAGTGGTTCAAATGGTAGGAGGCCTCCCTAAGAAGTGTGTGGCCCAAGCTCAAAACCCAGTACCACCCCCCCCCCACACACACACATTGTAAATAAGCAAACCTCCCATCTGAAAAGAAAAGCAAGTGTGCTTCTAACAATGTACTCGTCAAAGTAGTATCCCATATGATATTACTTACTCCACACTTACATAGTGTGTATGCCACTCAGGTGTAAGTATGAACTGATCTTAAGAATTAGGAAGGAAAGCTTTGTGTGGCAAGAGGACACATTAACTTGGCACATCTCATTAATGGCCACAAAGAACTAAGAAAGTATAAAGAACCTATGGTAAGAGTCATATGTTCAATCACGGTGATACAACCTCCTAGCAAATACAACCCTTTGTTTACTGACAGTCTGTCTCTATGCAGGAAGAAAATGGTTAGCAGAAAAAGAAAAAAAAGCAGACATGAAGCAGATAGGAAAATACTTGGGAACTATTTCATTTGTATTCTAACTGACTATATTAACAGAAGGAGGAGTTATAATAAGGGGAGGAGTGAGAATTACAGACTCACCTCTATCTGTATTCGGAATTCCCAGATCCACAGTAGGGATGGAGCTTTCTACATAGTCACTGTAGTACTCAATGAGATGAGCCTCATCCTCCCAGGTCCGCTTTACAATGGGTACTGGGAAAAAATGACAAGTGACAATCACAGACACGGCAATAAACAGAAGCATGATCACCTGTTCCCCTCAGTATCCCAAGGCAGGGCTTGCTTTCCTTCTGAGAACTTCTTCCTGGTGCAGCACAAGACTCAAGCTCTCCTAGGAACATTTTCAACATCCCTGAGTCTAGCATTTCTTATTTCTGGTCATAAATCTGCTTACTTCCATACTGCAGTTTCTAGTCTGCCTATACTGTTGTGTTTGAGTAACGTTTAATGGATTTTTCTCTTTTTCCAATTATTTATTTCACTTAACTGATCCATAAATGAAGTCTTAAACTGTGTTTGGGGCAGATGCAGAAATGTAAATGCTTGGTGGTGGGGGAGGGTTCTGGGGCTTGAACTCAGGGCCTGGTACTGTCCTTGAGTTTTTTGGCTCAAGGCTAGCACTCTACCATTTGAGTCACAGCGTCCATTTCCAGGTTTGGGGTGGTTATTTGGAGATAAGATTCTTCCACACCTTCCTGCCTGGGCTGGCTTTGAACCGTACTGCTCCTCAACACAGATATCTAGTCCCTTGAGTAGCTACGATTTACAGGTGTGCACCACTGGCACCCACCTTTAAAAATAGAAATACTTCTCAAGATGAAATATTCAGCATGGAGTAGACAAGATGTGCATTTCTACCTATTGTGCTTTTATCATATCTCTCAGATGTAAAGTTTTTTTCTTGGGTTGGTTTGATTTATTGATGCCAGTACTAGAGCACAAACTAAGGGCCTTGTACTCTTACTTGGCTTTTTTTGCTCAAATCTGACACTCTACTACTTGATCCACAGCTCCACTTCTGGCCTTTTGGTGGTTAATTGGAGATAAAAGTCTCAAGGACTTTCCTGCCTGGGATAATGTCAAACTAGGATCCTTAGATCACAACCCTGTGAGTAGCTAGAAGTAAGGATGGACTACCAGCACTGGAAATCCACAACTTTTTCTGTATTGTACTGAAGCATTAAATTCCTAAAGATATACTAAACCTTAAAAAATAGTCCAAGACAGCTGGGCACCAGTGGCTCATGCCTGTAATCCTAGCTACTCAGGAGGCTGAGATCTGAGGATCATGGTTCAAAGCCAGCCCAGGCAAGAAAATCCATGAGACTCTTATCTCCAATTAACTACCACAAAACCAGAAGTGGTGCTATGGCTAAACTGGCAGAGCACTAGCCTTGAGCTGAAGAGCTGAGGGACAGTGCCCAGGCCTACAGTTCAAGACCCACGACTGACAAAAAAAAAAATACTCCAAGAGCCAGCAGCAGTGACTCGTGCCTATAATCCTAGCTACTCAGGAGGTTGGGATCTGAGGATCTAGGTTCAAAGCCATCCCACACAGGAAAGTCCATGAGACTCTTATCTCCAACTAACCATTGAAAAACCAGAAGTGGTGCTGTGGCTCAAGTGGTAGAGTGCTTGCCTTGACCTGAAGAGCTCAGGGACAGTGTCGAGGCCCAGAGTCCAAGCCCCAAAACTGACTGAAAAAAAAAACTCCAAGATATGTTTTCTCGTATCAATAAAGAGAGAGATGCTTTCTTCCACATAAAACATTCTAGAATGTTTGCCATAGGGTATCTTAACATTGGAGCAAGGTACAAATTTTACTATCAAAGAAATCCCAGCTGCACAGAAAATGTAAGTCTTCTTCAGAGCATTCTAGACTAAGAAGGAGGGGTGTTTTGTTGCAAGGTACAGAGTGACACATTTTTACCATCTGTGAATTTACTTGCAAAAGTGTTTCCCATTAGGAATGAAAACAAAGTTGACACTGGAACATTTTTATAAGTGTTCAATCAAACAGATGTGCATCTGCTACATCAGTAAGGTCAATGATTGCTTTGATTTTTCAGGAGTTGGCATTTTTGATTGGCAAATGGACCTTTTGTCTCCGTGTGAGAGTCACTGATCACAAAAGAGAAACCCTGATTATGAATCTCATCTCAAGAGAGCATGACAGGCACAGGAGTGTGTCATTTTCTCATGTGGAAGGCTGAGGTGTAGCTTAAGACTGAAAAGCATCCCCATGGCTGATGTAAAACAGCAACAGTTTGGGGCAAATTGAAACACCATCAGCCACTCAATAGGCAGAGGAAGAATTAAGCCAGTGAACACCTGACTCCTCTAGGCTCTTTAGTTATTAATATCATCACCTCCTCTGATTCCATCTGGCTGTATTTTATGCATACCTCACCTTTTAAATAAGCAGACTAAAGCCTCTTTTTATCAAAAAGAACAACAGGCACTAAACATTCCTTGTAATAAATCTGTTCTGATGTGCAGTAAAGATACCAAAAGGGTTTCTTTTTTGGTATCCCAAAGGAATAAGGTGTTTGTGTTGAAGAGCTCGAAAGCTAGGAAAAATAGAACTAAAGGCTGAGCTGATCTCAACTTAACCTCTTTAACAAGGAAGGCTGGCAGAAGACGACTCACACCCATGATGGGGGGCACAGAAACAATGGCTGCCAGGTGGCACATGAGATGTGCGTGCCACCTGAAGAGTACCATACGATGTGCCAACTAAGAAAATGCTTAAGGTTTCCTGTCATCTCACATCATGAAAAAGCTGTAAAACAAAAGCAACTACTCACTAGGTGCCCAAAGCACATGTCTGAAACCCTAGCTACTCAGGAGGCTGAGGTATGAGGATCTGAGTTCAAAGCCAGACTCAAGCAGACAAATCTAGGAGATTCTTATCTCCAGCAATGAGCCAAAGTGGATATGTAGCTCAAATGGGAGAGTGCCAGCTCTGAGGGCAGAACTTCAAATAAGAGTGTGAGATGTACTGGTACATCACACACACACACACAAACATACACACACACACACACAAAATCAAGCACTACTCAAGCTACAAAGTAAAACTCCAGCAATCATTTCCTTGATGATCTATAATCTTAAATACCATATGTAACATTAACAAATAATAATAAAATTTAATACCATATATAATCCTTTCAAAAATGTCTTTCAAACCCCACTAACTACTTGTATCTCAGGGAATGTTTCTGTTTTGCTGGTGTCAATATGTACTGCTTGCTGGAGCCAAAAACTAAAATATATCTTGTATGTGTTCTAAGAATGCTCTATTGCTTTTCTATCAAATTCCAGACCAATTCTATTACACAGATGTTTCATAATTAAGGGGGAAAAGACAATATTTAAAATATTTTTAAAAATTTGGAACTTGATCTTTTTATCAATGAGAATAGTAATAAAATGAATTCAAGTCAGATACCAATGGCTCACACCTGCAATTTTAGCTACTCAGGAGGCTAAGATCCAGAGAATTGAGGTTTAAAGCAAGCCCAGGGAGAAAAGTCTGCTAGATATCATCTCCAAAGTAAACAGCAAACAAAACGCTGGGCTGGAAGTATGGTTCAAATGGTAGAACACCAACTCAGCAAGCAAGCTGAGCAAGTTTGAAGCCCTGAGTCTAAACCCCAGGATTGCCACAAAGAGGAGAGGAGGGAGAGAAGAGGGGAGGAAAGGGGAGGGGAGAGGTGGAGAGGAGAGGAGAGGCGAGGAGAGGAGAGAGAGGGAGGGAAGAGGGGGAGAGAGGGGGTAGAGAAAGAGAAAGAGAGAAAGAGAAACCTGAAAGAAAAATGAAAGAAAAAGGGAGGGAGGGAGGGAGGGAGGGAGGGAGGAAGGGAGGAAGGGAAGAAAGGGGAAAACCCTAAACATATTTTCCATTGCCACTCAGTCCTTCATCTCCATCTGGGGAGAAGATCAACACTAATAAAGTAGGAGTGTATGCCCACAAGCAACAGTACAGCACACTCTTGTTTTTTCAAAACTAAGTACAATTTCTTATTTACAGTGTTTTTCCTTCATTGTCATTTGGCCTTTGTTTCTCTAAGTATTTCTACCCCAAAGAGCACAAAATAGGAAGAAGAAAAAAAGCATAACAGTAACAAAAACTAACCCACCCATGTATTCTCCTGGCTGTGACAATATGTTTGGGCAGGGGTGGTAGTTTGAATTCGTACCCAATGTGTACTATAGATCACATGTGTTCTGTTAGAAATAAAAGCAGTTGTGGTCCAATTTCAATACAAGGCATTTGATTCTGAGTGGAAAATTACTAGTAGCTAACTTGCATGGTGACTTGAGGATGTGACAATTCATGTATTTGAAAGTCGATGGACAGATTAGAAGAGGGGAGGTGAATAGCAGAGAAGAATGAACTATAACAAAATAGGAAAATGGGTAGAAACAGTGTACATACCAAAAAAGCACATACCCAGAAAAGATATCCTGACACAAAAGAATAAGGGGGAGTGCAGATAGCCTAAAGTCCAAAAGCCCATTTCTAAAATTCAACCAATCTCATGAAGTGAATGTATTCAAGTCAACCAATAGAAAGTATGTAAACTTAAGTCACAACTAGGAGAATATATGCAAACCCCGTTGTACTCAACCAATGTGGAACTTGGGGAGGAACCTTAGATCCTGGGGGATCACTTGCTTGTTCTAACAGCCAAGGCTGTGCCTGCCAGTCAGACAATCATTTTCCAAGACCACCCACTGATGTCTGGTTCGTACTCCCCGCACGCATGCCCGTGAGCTGATTCTCAGGCTTGAACTCAGGGCCTAGGCACTGTCGCTGAGCTTTTTTGCCGATGGCTGACACTCTACTACCTGAGCCACAGTTCCACTTCTGGCTTTTTGGTGGTTAATTGGAGATAAGAATCATAGACTTTCTTGTCCATCCTCAGATCTCAGCCTCTCGAAGAGCTAGGATTACAGGCATGAACCAACAACACTGGGCTTACTATACTTATCTTGAAGTCCATCATTTAAGCATGAATTGGTATGTTTTTCATAGTTCCAATTTTTTGTTACCTTCATTGCTACTGAAAGTGAAAAGCCAGCTCTTAGAGCTCTTGGCCAAATCCAAACTGACCTTGAGCAGAGCAGGGTATCAACATAAATGTCAAAGCCAATTTATCAAACGGTGAGACTATAATATATCT